AGTCATTCAAGTCCAAACTTCGCAAGGCTATATTATCCGCATTTTACAACATTTCGCAATGAAACTTCGGAATATTACTAATTTTGTGATGCTCTTTCAAGTTGTGATGAAATTTTTGTTTAGGCTTGTCTAGATTAAAATTTCACTCATAATTAGGGGAAAGGTCCATTGATTAATTTTAAGCGGCTACATTATCCATGACAAACCGCAAAGAATCATATTACCTATACTCTTTCCTGCAATATATAGTTAGTTAAATACGCCTTCGCCCATTTAGTTCTACTAAATTGTAAGCAAATTGTAAATTTCGACATACTAAAACTCTTTTAACAACTCGAACCGACTTGACCACGTAGCTCAGTTAGCAGAAGATTGGACTAGTATCCCAAAGATCGCGGGTTCGACTCCCACCGTGGCCAAGCAAACTTTTCAGGTTGCCCGCTGTGGATGCATACTCAGATAAACGTCACAAATATCATACTAAAACTCCGTTTTCTGACCATCAGAATTCTGTCAAAACTTCCCCAAAGTCCAGGAAATGGCATTTCAGAGAATCTAAATTTAAAAATTTCCTCTGGCCTTTGGCCCTCGTTTCCAGCCCCCAATAAAAAGAGCGTCTTACGGCACTGCATGCTTCTGTAATATGTCATTGCGTAAACTATGATTGTGTATTTTTGTTTGTAAATTGCATATTCATATATTCGTGTTCTGCTTTATTAATTTCTTTTGAAATCAATTGTTTTTATGGTATGTGAACACGAATATATGAATATGCCCCCCCCCCCCAATTATCGTCCTGGCTACGCCACTGGTTTAGTTTCGTTTAAATAGTGTATTCGTATTTAATTTAATTTAAACCAACTTTTGACTTTTACTCAAATGTCTAAACGTAAAAATTTTCCGGACCTAATATACTTCCTTCTTACTATTTGTAATACCTCCCTTAAACATTTCTTCATTTTTCTTCTCTAACTTTCACAAATTTTCCAAATTTTTACTCTCATTGGTTCTCCTTTTCCCTACATTTGAAATGTCGGGGGGAGGAGGACGGGGTACTTCAAATTCCGCCGCCTATATAAAACAGCGCAGAGCGATTCCGGCAGCAACAGGAAGCTATACCATGCATTTCCCCTAAAATTTTGTGAACAGCATAATTGTTGTATATGTACTTGCTTACCGCCTGACTTCGGTCCACATTAAATTTAATGAACGTCCAAACTCGCTGTTTTTTCTCGGCGTTATTATCAAAGTTTTGTTCCGTCATATTTGTCAATTGGCAGTTCCATTCATTCGACTCAGCCTTCTCCTTGTAGTTCATTGCAACACAGAAACGGTTATCTGCGCATTTCAGACCACAAAACTCATAAGTTGGTTCTCTGAATTGAGCGATGATGTTTGTTTTTAAACTAGGCACATCTAAAAATATTAAATTATTCAATCTAGGGATTCATATAGGTAGGTAGGTAGGTTGGTAAGTAGGTAGGGAGCTAAATCTTTATTTCACCACGCTGACCCCTACAGCAGAGAGCTGATTTCCAAGGGTGGCGTAGGTATTCATAAAAAATAACAAAAACATATTTACATCAGAGACACCACACTACATATACACATTAAATATTTAAACAAAACATTGTAAAATTAGTATTAAAGGAATTATAAAGAGAATCCTTAGTCCTTAATTCTTCTGAGAGACTATTCCACAATTTTGCCCCCATGGGCGTACGGGAAGGAAAAAATTAGAGGGGCGGAAAGAAATTTGTCGGACTTTTTTTATTGTGCCCGAGTTCGTCAAAAGAAATTTTCCGGAGAAACTTTCCAAAATTGTTGTCGATGTGGGGGGGGGGGGGGGGTGGAGTAATTAAGAACAATTCCTATTAAATAGCATATTTCCCACAAAATTGACAGAATATCCCACAAAATTGACAGAATTTGTGCCATTTATTTTTATATAATAAGCGAATATTGTCCCACTGTGAAGCGAATATTGCCCGACTGGCTTTGTTTGCCCAACAAACAGGGGAAGGGCTGCCGCCCTCCCACCAGCTCCCCCCGGTACGCCCATGTTTGCCCCTCTAAAACTCAGACTTTTTTTAAGGAAGTCAGAGAGAAGATAAAGCAAAGAGCTTAGTGGAAGAGCCTCTTAAACGGTAGTATTTGGAGGAAGGCGTCTGTAGAAAAATATAAGCTAACGCTTTTGGCACTAGATTATGCGTAATTTTATACATTGAACGTGTTACGAACTTGGTCCTGCGTTCGCTCAGTGGCTTCCATCCAAGACAATTTCATACAGAGTAAGTTCAGACTGGCCATGTTCGTTCATACGGCCAGCTATAACTCTAGCAACCCTGTTTTGTAATCTTTTCAAGTGGTCAGGAAGTCCAATACCGATAGTGTCCCAAACTTCACCACAATAATCGAAATGAGGTGCTATAAGTGCATTATAGGCACCTATTAGGGCACTACGGTCAATGCAAGATTTGAGTTTCTGATCGCCGAAATTCCGGACGAAGCTTTTCTAGCAATTAATTGTATCAATATTAATTCTTTTGCCAAGATTGTAATTAATCAACATAGACTCCAAGGTTGTTTAACATTTACATGGAAAAACCATCCGCTTTTATAACAAACATACTTGCAGGGAGGTGCGTCCAATTACGGACTCACCGAACCTGCAAGTATGTTTGGTATTTATCACATGCCATTTCGGTAAAATACTAAAAAGTACTGAAAATTTTATACGCATTTTATCTTTTAGTATATAATTTCGTGCTTGGATAACAAACATTTTAGCCGCCAAAATAGTACGCAAACAAACAAACTTAGGTTTAAGTTAGCTAAAAAAATTCTCTACAATATTCCATTATTCTTGAAAAGAGAAAATGGACACGTTCTGCGAAAACAATGCCAAGATTTATATAAACCTGCCCGTGCCGAACATAGTCAAAGACTATGCCTAGAAGCTTGGCAAATAAATATGAGTAATCATGCTTTGAAAAGGGATAACGGTGCCTATTTGCCAGTGGAATACATACATCTTATTGACAGGTGACGTCATCCCTTGCGTATTTAAGAAACCATGATTGCAACTTTAGATCACCGCTGATGAAGACACTGGGCTGAACTGTCGAAACGTTGGATCTTGATTACAATTCGTCAGGGCTTTGTATAATCATTTATCTAAAACTCTTTCTCGACAAGTGGTTTCGCATTACATTACGATCCAACTTTTCTAAAGTAAATATCTCGGCGAGTATTTTCTCCTTTTAAAACAAAAGCCACCATTGAAATCCTCATAAAATAACATTTCGAACGGGTGGTCAAGTGCCGTCAAAACATTACACAAACCGAAAATCATACATTTATACTCACCGCTTGGCCAAACATTCTGTGTTTCATCGAGAAAAAGTTGAATATCTTCTAAACTTTTCGTCATTTGATTAAAGGTTATATGAGTAAAATACTCACTGTATTCAAGAGCTTTCGTGTACAAAGTTTCGTTTGAATACGGCAAGAAGAAATATTTATTTTGTATTTTGCAAGATATCGGGTTTTGCAGCACGCGCGTGTATTACGCAATACTTGGCCAATAAGGAGCCCCTTTAGCCGCGATGACGTCAAACTCACGCGTATTAGGGCCCTTGACCTATAGAATCCATTTCTGGCATTTGCACAGTCAAGCGAACAAACTTCGCATTGTTTTGACGGTTTTCAGTCGTATTTCCGGTTGGGGATTATCGCAAACTCGGACCAGAAATGTAAATTCCGCAATAAAATATCACAATTTATAGATAGAAGCTTGAAAATAACACTGTGTATGGAATTATGAATGCTTAATCGAACAAGACTATCACAATGAGCATACGTCTCAAGGGGCCGAAGTGATGTTCGGCCTTCGTCAAGAGTTAGTAGCCAACGTTAGGGCCTTCGCTCGAAACGTCCAGTTTCTGCTTATTTCTTAAATTAAGGTAGTAATATAACCACTCAGCACAGCATGTTCACATTGGTACTACCCACACTGGTACAGACAGTTTATGTTTATGTTTATGTTTATAATTTGTTAGTAATATTGCGTAATTTGATCATATACGAGCTCGCTTGACTTTCAAATCTCAAAAATCGCTATAATGTAGCCATTGACTAAAACTATCGTTACGAATTCGTATATATTTTTACACTGAATCGAATGGCGGTATTTACTATTTTCATAGCGTTTACTGAACCGAAGATATGAACGAAACATCCGTAAACATCAATTTCTAATAAAGGAATGGATATCTGGAATAATCTTGATATAAAATTAAAAAGTGCAGTTTCATATTCTATTTTTAAAAAAGTAACAAAAAATTACTTCATAAAATTAAAAATATGACCATATCATCGTATTTATACCATACCCTGTAAATTCATTTGGTTTGCTCTGAAGATGTTGTATTGTAAACAACGAAACGTTAGCCAGTAATTCTTTTTACTTGTATTATGTTTGGATTTAAAGTTATTTGCTAGGCTCTGCTCTCTATCTTTAAACTAAGATATCCGCCTGTTGTATCAATTACCACATACACAAAAAGCTGGGAATATAAACTTATAAATGTCTGATTGTCCGCCATCTTGTTCTCGCCCCATGCCCCAAGGCCGTGTGTCATTGGGAACGCACAACGGTATCCTACTATCGTTACATCTCTTCTCCTTACGTTTCTTAAGTATAATTTCAAAACAAAACTCTTGCGGAAAATGTTCGATTATTCAACTTAGCTATACGTTATCATAAACAAGTTCGATAACTGTTCCATGAAATAAACTGATCCCATTCGGTTCTAAACTACAAACTATGGTATTTAAATGTTCAGGGTCAATTACACTCGTAATCTTCATAACGTTTTGGAGCACGTCGGCTTCGCCCCTAGCGGCGTGCATTATCATCTGCCCCATGTCTCATCTCTCTGGCCTCCCATGGCATCTACATCAGCGGGTTCGTCGATTGATTCGTCGTCAGTCAACGACTCATCTGCATCGGACAGTTCGGTTTGTAGAGGTAACTGCTCTGCTGTCGTACGTAAATGCCTTCGATTTCGACGATATTTTCTTCCATTGACCTCAACCAGGTAAGATCGAAAACCTATGACTTCAATGACCTTACCAATCACATTTGAATCACCCGGACAACGCATTCGGATTACATCGCCTGCTGACAGCCTTTTCATTGTTTTCAACTTCCGCGACTGTCGATCAAAATATTTCTTTGCTTCTCTTTGCTTTTCTCCATATTCTTCGTCACTCTTTCGATAAGAGCCGGGTTCGGCTGTTTCCTTGCAACTGAAAGACGTGTTCGAGTACGTCTACCATAAATATAGTCTCCAGTGGCTTGTGGCCTGATTCTACCACGACGTCGCTCTTTCCAAAAATGTGTTGGCAAATTTCTCGCATGCGTAGATAATGGCTAAGAATTCTTTCCCTACTTGCGCGTAGTTGCGCTCAGTTGCTGTTTGCTCTAGAGAGCTGTAGGCAATTGGGTGGTTATCTTGTAGAAGAGCAGCTCTAAGACCGGTTTGGCATGCATCACATTGTATAGATACGGACTTTGTGACGTCACACTAGGCAAGCACTGGCGCGATGCTGATCAATCTTTGGATTCGAACCACGGATTCTTTGTGTGCGATTAACCAACACTGCTCGGCATCTTTCTCTGTGAGCTTTCTCAACACTTTCGTTTCATCAGAGACACATGGTAAACACCTGGCAAGGTAGGTTACCATACCCAGGAACCTTCGTAGAGACTGCACATCTGTAGGAAAAGGCATGTCTTTGATGGCCTCCATTTTCATTGGATCAGGCTTCAAAGCATGTCCGATAAATGTCACTTCCGTGTTCCTTAACTAAGCCTTTTCTTTCTTGAGCTTCAGGTTCTTCTCCCGACAGCGCTCCAGAAAAGCACGGACATTGTGGTCATGGTCAGCATTCCACTCTTCTGGGGTACTTCCAAACCCAACCACGACAAAACCATCTGCTATCACTTCCACCCCATCATATGCTATCACTTCCACCCCTTCAACATGTTCCCGCATCTTTCGCTGCCATACGCCCGGTGCGCTGTTTATGCCAAACGGCGTACGTTGCCAACAATACCGCCCGAATGGAGTGTTGAAAGTAGTGAATAGACTGGAGCCTTGATCGAGCTCTACTTGCCAAAATCCAATTCTGGCGTCAAACACACTGACAATTTCCGGCCCATTTAATCGGGTAGCAACTTCTTCAATAGTAGGCATAGGGAAATGTTCACGTTTTATTACACCATTTAGATATTTTGGGTCAAGGCAAATGCGAATATCTGCTTTTCCGTCTGTCTCCAAGGCCGGTTTTCGCACAGCGAGCATGCTCGAGACACATTCAGTAGGTTGATCAACTTTTGCAATAATGTCATCCTTTACCATTTTGTCAAGTTTTTCTTGGACTTGATTGATTAATAGGAAGTTTAAGCTTCACATTTCCGGGAACAGCAAAAGGCCGGTTCGAAATTTCTTGGCAAAATTTTCGTTAAACGTTTTCGTTTGATATTTTCTTTCTTGTGCCAAAAGAATAATCATGCATTGCAGTTTTAAAACAGCAAGTTCATTTGCTCTTTTTTGCCTGATACCGTAAAATTTTTCTTTGGCTGGCGTTCGCCGTTTGACATATAACGCGAAGCTTAAACTTTCTAATGCTACTGACGAACGGCGAGGCGGGTGTACCACAGGCTTCACTGACGAATCTGTGACAATGGTGTACTGCCCTTCGAGCTTTCCAAGACCTTCAAAGACATCTGTCAACTACAGTACAGTTAATTATTCTACATTATGGGTACTCAAGGAATCTATTTGACAAAAATCTGATATCGCAAGCTGTTTTGCGAAATTGAGAGCAGTTTTTTATATACACTGTATAATTTTTTTCTGTGTTGGTGTTATGTACTCAGGTGAATATGATGCAATGTGATGTTAGTTTGAGTGTATATCCACACCGGACAAGCTTGAAAAATATGCCTGGCCACGGTGGCAATCGAACCTACGACCTTTGGAATACTAGCCCAATGCTCTGCCAACTGAGCTACGCGGTCAGGTCGGTGCGAGTATGTGATATTTCGGAACTGAGTCTAGCCCCTTCGATATCAATGCAATCTAGTAATATGATTTTTTTCTGTGTTGGAGTTATGTACTCAGGTGAATATGATGCTTGTGATGTTACTCTGAGTGTATATCCACACTAGACAAGCTTGAAAAATATACCTGGCCACGGTGGGAATCGAACCTACGACCTTTGGAATACTAGCCCGATGCTCTGCCAACTGAACTACGTGCGGTCAGGTCGGTTCGTGTATGTGATATTTCGGAACAGAATCTAGTTGCTCGAACCGACCTGACCGCGTAGCTCAGTTGGAAGAGCATTGGGCTAGTATCGCAAAGGTCGTAGGGTTCGATTCCCACCGTGGCCAGGCACATTTTTCAAGCTTGGCCGGTGTGAATATACACTCGAGTAACATCACAAGCATCATATTCACCTGAGTACACAACACCAACACAGAAAAATCATATTACTAGATTGCATTGATAACGATGGGATATAGCTTAGATTCAATTTCGAAATGTCACATACTCGAACCGACCTGACCGCGTAGCTCAGTTGGCGGAGCATTGAGCTAGTATTCCAAAGGTCGTAGGTTCGATTCCCACCGTGGCCAGGCATATTTTCAAGCTTGTCCGGTGTGAATATACACTCAGAGTAACATCATAAGCATCATTACCCCGTATAACAAAGGCCGCCGCTCTCGCCATATAGAAACAGTAAAAATTCTAAGGATAATGCTTGTTCAATGACATATTTTTCGAATTAAAAATGAATGACAATGTAAAGTGGCACTGTTTTATTTGTTTTAGAGCTACGAACTGTTTAGGAAGATTGAAAATTATTCTAAGATAAAAAGCTATGTAACTTTGATATATGTATATTAAAACTGTCTGTACGAGTGTGGGTACTACCAAATTGAAATTGCTGTGCTGAGCATGAGTGGTTATATTACTACCTTAAAAAATAGTTTATTTCTGCTTAATTTTTAAGGTAGTAATATAACCACTAAGCACAGTATATAACTTTGACACTAAAATCTCGTTGATTTTAAAAGATTCTCCCCTCCTCCTTATTTTAAAGATTCCAACATGATCTTCAAAAAGTTTAAAAAAGTTAACGAAAGTAAAAAAGAGTTAAAAAGTTAGATTTTCAAAAAAAGTTAAAAGAGTTAGATTAGGGTTAGCGGTTGGGGTTAGGGTTGGGGTTAGGAGATAGTGTTGGGGTTAGGTGCCGCGAATTTATCATATATATTGATAAATGCATGTGGACCTGTTCAACAATTTCTCATATAGGCCTAGTAAAGGTGGCGGTGCTCGTACTGAAAGATTCCCTGGTTGGCCAGTCAAGGCTATTTCATTGTCAGATTCCCAGTGTCCTGTAATCTAAATACGATGTGTCTTTTTCTATATAATGGGGATTTTCTATACAAGGTGGGCGTTTGGTTTGCTCGTTACGCATAGTAATAATATTTCCCCGTACCCCCATTCCCCGTTTCACTTTCCCCATTCCGGATTTTAATTAAAGACAGTCGTAAAATTTACAGCGAGGGGGGAATTTAGCTAAATTTACATTGTGCACGCATTCATGTCTATTTGATTTCGCAGAAACTAAATTTCGCGCTGTTTTTAATTTCTGGCATTCTTAAGCCCCACGCAGACCGGATGCGATTCGGAAACGCGACGCGAATTTCGAGTTTTCAAAAACAAATAAAACCGTCAATGGATAAAATTTTTACAAGATATGCAGACCAAATAGCTAAAATTGCTCAAGTGGTTCCGAATATTTGAAAAACATTGAAAGATATTAAAGTTCAATGTCATTGAAAACTGA